CTCAAGCTAGTGGGTGTATAGTTTTATAGATTCGTGTTTTTTGAAAAAATTATTATTTTCATAATTATCTTGACTTTTTTACAGGCATTTGTCCTCTTTTTACTATTGTCCTTGATATCTGTCAGTATCATCCTCTTCTTGTATCAAACTTTCATATCTGTCTCCTTTTCTATCCTATTTTCTGTTTATACAATCATTAATTTATAGTTATATTCTAGTCAAATTGATTTTAAACTGAACTATATTTGAGTAAAAGCTTTTATTAACAAAATAAACTGCAAAAAGTCTTTCATATCTAGCACAATGTGGATGAAGACATTCAAAACTTTTTACCAACTGTCATGTTTCGTCGGACACCCAGTATGTAATTATATGATTGGCTAATTTTTGGTATCGTCAATTTGTTATAGACAATTTGGTGATGACAATGTGGTAATGCCAACTTAGTAAGGTGACTTTTTGGTAACGACAATTTGGTAAAGACAATAATGGTAACTACAAAAAAGTGACAATTTGGTAATAACAATTTTATTGCTTCATAAAAATGACGATTTGGTAACTGCACAAAGTGACAATTTTGTAACTACAAAAAAGTGACAGCCAGGGATATAACTACATAAAAGTGACAATTTCGTGAGCACAAAAAAAAGTGACAACCATTTTGTCTAATCAATTTTGGTCTAAGTAACATTATGTCAACGTTCAATTTTGTCTAACTTTTCTTGGTCTAAGGTAAATTTTTGGTCTAAATAACATTTGGTCCATAGTAACTTTTGGTGTAACGTAAATTTTGGTCTGAAGGTACTTTTTTGTCTAAAGTAACATTTATCTAAAGAAAAATTTTGTTAGAAATATAGGTTCACGATACCAGGTTGTAAAGATATATGGATTAGTAAATTTAATTTTGTTGCTAGTTCTATGTACCTTTATAGTCTAATTACCTTTTGTTAACCTCTAGGATGGGCTATTGGGCCGAGCGCTGCTGTCTCTTACATTATTTAGGAATAGGGTTGGTTAAGACAATTTCTGGGCCGAGCGCTGCGACTAGGATAGGCTAGCGTTGTGGCCTATTAAATGTTGAATAATCTAACCAAACACAATTTAATTATTTTTAATAAATTCAAATATGTATACTTGCCACACTTTTTTTATCAAATTTTCACCTTACCAAATTGTCACTTTTTGTTACCAAATTGTCATTACCAAATCGTCATTACCAAATTGTCAGTACCAAATCGTCATTACCAAATCGTCATTACCAAATTCTCATTACCAATTCTCATTACCAAATTGTCGTTACCAAATTGTCATCAACATATTGTCATTACTTCCCTGTCACCCTGTGGTTCTGTGAGGTGCAAAATGTGAGCTTAATTAGTTTAGCCTTTTTTTACGGTAAATCGAAACATTATTAATAAAATATTGTCTTCATTGTATTGATATTATCGTCAACCTCTGCAATTTTCATTTAACATTTTACGGTTCTCAAACCTTGCCACAAAAATGTGGGTCCTATCGGTTTAGCTGATTTGATGTTAATTGAAAACAAACAGGAAGGCAAAGAATATAAATTGATTGTCCTTAATCTCTTTTAATTTTCAACCAAAAAAAAAACAAAGATTAACTTTATATTTTTAAACCATATAAAACAACTTTTTGGGAAATAATTATGATTCTTCAGAGCTGGAACCAAAGTTATTCCTGTGCATAAAAAAAGTTCTGAAATTCGGACATGGTGCTATCAAAAATTGGTTAAACGGACCTTCCTTTATGTCTGAATGAAAGATGATTAAATGGAACTTAATGGAAGTCTGTTTTTAAGTTTACCCATTTATTTGTAAATCTCTGAATACCCATGTTCTAAAATACAAAAGGCTGAATTTAGACCATCAATGCGTTAACTTTGCTTTATTAATACCTTTACTATTCCAGTACTTTGCATTGCATATACTTTGCATTGCATGTACTTTGCATGTACTATCCATGCACTATCTATGCACTCTCTCTGTATTATCACTGTAATATAACTATACTAACTACTATGTTTGTACTTTGCATGTCCTTTCCCTATACTATCCCTGTACTATTCCTGTACTATCCTTTTTTTCTAATACCTGTACTATACCTGTACTTTACCTGTACTTTACCTGTACTTTCCCTGTACGATACCTAGCTGTACTATATGGTATACCATGGCACTATGTCTGTATAGTATCTAGTGATGTCCATTTTTGTCTTGTAATGTCTTGTAATGTCCTGTAATGTCCTGTTATACTTTGTCCTGTCCAGTTATGTCTCGCAAGGTCCTATAATGTTCTGAACTTTCTTGAAACATATTCAGATGGATAAAGCAATTTCAGACTTCTCATGAGAGATATGATAATCAGACATTGTACAATCCAAAATGGGTTAAACAGACCTCTTACTAAATTTGAATGGAAGCTAAAAATGGAACTTAATTAATGCCCGCTTTTAACAGTCTGAATACCCATATTCTGAAATACAAATGTTTGTTTACACCATCATGGCTTTTGAAATTAAGTATTACACTGCTAATTCATAAAAAAGACGATATCGAATTCGTCACTGAATTCCCATGTTTTTTTTGGGACACCCTGTATCTTTACAGCCCAGTGTCGTAGTCCTTAGATATTTTCAAACTAAGAATTCTGTTGGATCAAATAGTCTAAGTTTAATATATCAAAGGTTCAGACCATCAGGTTGCTAAGGTATAGCAATTAGAAAATTTGAGTTTGTGGCAAAGACTCAATTCCTTAACAACGAAAAATTATAGAAACAAATGAATTACAATGTAGTTTTGACAGCAATGGGAGAAACTGGAAAGCCTACCAGTCTATGTTGTAGCTAATAAAATTACTAAAAATTACAAAAAGATTAATTCTAATGTAACTTTTTGTTCTCTTGATTTTTGACTCTGATGGTGTTAACCTTTAACATTTTAAACCGTGACCTTAACTTTAGATATCATAAAATAGCTTGGGAACCCAGCTTTACCAAAGTTATTGAAATTTACTCCCGCCCAAGCTAAGAACATTCTATGGGTCTCCCGAGTTCCCGAATCAAAATTTGAGGCAAATCGGTCCAGGGGTTCCTGAGTTATGATCGGACAAACAAAGAAACAGACATCCAGACAGACACACAAAGATTAGAACTTTATATATTATAATTATTACATACCTTTTAAAGACTTCATCCCCAGGGTAAAAGATTTTTTGGCAAAAGCACAAGCAAATAATAAGTACTGTTTGTCTGTTTGATCTAGAAACCCCGATTTGTTTCAATATTTTATTATGGAGCTTGGTTAGTCACGGAAATTTAACTGGTTAATTCAACGAGGTTATAGTGTATAGAGTGATGATGTACGGCAACACTTTACTGATCTTATAGGCCATAAACTATCCGAGAGCGTACTGCATATTTGTTTATTATAAGTTGATTCTGGCCTAACCTATTGTATATCAATATTAGTAAGCAGTTGTAAGTGTACATTACAGCTAACTGAGCACACAGGTAGAGAATTACAACCCCCCTGGGTTAATTGTATTGTTTTAAATTGGTGAACAATACCTTAAAAAGAAAAGACATTTATTGGTGGGGTGGTATATCCGACTCACAATACTACCTATTAAAGGGATTGTTCGCGAAAAATGAAAGGGGGTATAGACTTAATGCGATAAAAAAGTGCTTTTGATCGCTACTAATCTTACTTCTATCTTAAACCTACATAGATAGGACATGTCCTTCCTTGCAGGGTCACTTGAAACTACACTTAAAGTCTCTTTAAAGGGAGTTTTCGCGAAAAATGAAAGTGATTTCAATTCGATATTAACCTTTAAACTTTAAGAATGTGCGTGTATGGTCTATGTCCCTTTTTGCTTCAAAGTCACACAAAATAATTTTATCTTTTATTTTACTTATTTTAAAACTGTAATTTCATTGAAAAACGAATGTATCTAATAGATCATTATTTTCAGATAATTATACAAAAATTCTAAAATATTATATATTATATTATATAATTATGTTTGAATGTTTAATGTTTGAAAACTTCAAGTGTTTCAGGAATTGATTCAAGTTAAGAGATTTGGAATTTGTGTTCATTGTCAGATTCTTCTCCGAGTCGACTATGCAAACATACTTAAACATCATCAAATAATAAATCTTAATTTATTCCACTTAAACTTAATAATGAAACTATTTAGTATAAAATCTTTAATTTAAACAAAATATAAAGATTTTTTTCTATTAAACTTAAACAAATCAATGGAACCTTCAACTTTCTAAATAAAATTTATTCTATGGGACTTAAATAAATTAATGAAACTTTGATTTTATAAATTTATAAATTTTGGACAAAATATGAAACTTTTACTTATTAAACATAAACTTGATTGTAAAAATTTAAGCTATAAAATATGAAAAAACATGAAGTATGAAGATGTCGTCTTCATTATCAAAACTCCTTGAAACGGGAATAATTTTTTTCAAAAGTAACAATCAGATCATATAAAATAAAAAATATTATGAAATATCAACTATTTACGAATGCGTAGAAAACTATCGATGATTATTGGTTGTAATATCTAAATGATTTATCTTGAATCAAATTGATATTTTTACGATCCGAGTTGAATGTTGCAAGTTTCTCACTTTGTACGGACTCTACGTTCTTTGGTATTAGTTGTTTTTAACAATTTTCCTATCATAGAAGCAAGAGATAGAAGTAAGATTAGTAGCGATCAAAAGCGGTTATTTTTGCCGTAATCTATACACCTTTTAATCTTTCGCAAAGACTCCCTTTAAGTTAAACTAAAAATGAAACATATAATCATATAAACTTTTGAACACCAATGAAACTTGCAGTTAGTAAACTTTGGAAAAAAATAACAAAACTATAGTAAACTTTTAAAGAAATAAAATTTTATGCTCTTTCAATTTTTAAAAATAATGAAAACAATCATCTAATAAAATGTACTAAAATATAACCAAAATATAAGATTTTTCTTAAAAAAGATAAAATGGGAGTTTTAAACCTAGCCTTAGTTGGCTTTCTTCTTAGCATTCATGCTTCATTTGTGAGCGGTAAGCACTTTTGTGTAAAAACACTTTTTAGATTAATTTTCTAAATATTAATGATATTTCATATATTGTTACTCTAGGTACTTATTCTACAAGTTCCATGATAGGTATGCATACATTTACCTCTTATATGTTAATATACATAAAGAATAAAAATAACTTAAAATATTATAAAAATCCTTGCTTTACAGATGGCATTAAAGTAGCCGTGGATTTTAATGCTAATCAAACATTAGAAAGAACAGCAAGAGGTATTCAGAATAAAGATCCAAATGATAACAAATCTGAAAATTTAGATAAACCTAAAAAAAAAGATAAGGTTGAGAAGAAAAGTGAGTCTAGAAATAAAAAGCAAAAAAGAAGAGAAAAAAAGATTAAACTTAATTTGAAGAAAAAGAAATCCCAGAAGAAAACTAAATCTAAAAAATTTGAGAAAAATCAAGAAATAAAGAAGAGCCCTGGTGGTGTCACTGAAAAAATTAAGAAAAAAAATCTGCAAAAATCATTCAGCACTAGACAAGCAATTTCGGATAGTTGCATCAAGGTAAGATTTGAATAATATCAAAAAAATGTCAAAAATTTTAAATCCATTCTACTTTTGTCAGGATTTGGCCGAGTTGGGTGTGTTATTTGGGAATCAAGCAAGAAACTTTTTCCAGATTTCGTCTAGAGCTCTAGCCGCCAGCCTTTCAATAGGCAGTAAAAATAATAAGAAAACCAGCTTCAAGGAACCATTCAGTATTCTTGTCAACACATTGGGAGGAGACTTTACTAATCTTACATGCTCGGGGAAATCTGTCAGAAATGATTCTACAGTAGGTATGAGGAAAAGAAAATAACATTAACAATTACGAAATAGAAAATATTCTGAGACTTAAACTTTTGGTTCCGTGGTTAGCCGATGTGGCTTAACGTGATATCCAAAGAGTAAACTTTTAAATTTAATGATTTAAATAATAACTCTGGAACAAACGGGAAATCCCCTCAGAGATGATTAAGAAATGATTCAAAGAAAGACTTAAATTAAACCATCAGAAAAGAGTAACCAACTTACCGCATTATGAAAAGATTTAAAATACAAAAGTTTTGACCTCTGTGTTGATTACAGAAACAGCCACTGTACTCTCTGAGTGTGAAGTCGAAATTGAATCCTCTTGCAACAATTCTTTAAACAGTGCCGAGGAGCTACAAATATCAGAGTGCAAGAATGCAACAGATAAATTCAGGTTGGGAAATACTAAAAATATGAAAGAAAAAAATATGTAAAACTTAAACATTTAGGACGATGTACTTGACCCTTTTCGGAAACGGAAAGACTGTTCCAGAGGTAATTTTCAAGTCTTCGTTTTTGTTTTTGTTTAAAGTGACCAGTAGGAAGAGTATTTTTACCATAGCTTGATCTACACTATTTGTAGTATATTTAATTTAGAATTTTTATTAATAAATAGTAAAAGGATCAAACACTCAAATTGTAATTTTATAAACATTACATCTTTGCCACCTGATGTCGTACTCGTAGACCTTTGATATATTAAACTATGGAATCTCCTAGATATATAATATGCCAAGATATAAATATCAAAGATGTACACCATCAGGTTGATTTGCTAGACGGATTTGAATTTTCAAGTTTGGGAAAGTTATCAGTTTCTTTATATGTGCAAACATTTAATGATGGTTGAGCACATTTTGTTTATGATTTTTGTTTTGTAAAATATATTTTCTCAGTGTTCGATAGGACCGTTTTCAATATAACAAAAGGCTTAAATTTTGTCTAATATATTTAAAGTTTATAAAAGATTTTCCCAAAAATTGTGCACAAACAACTCAAGATCATGGGGTTAATATTTATTTTCCTTAAACTTATAACTGAATTTATATTGTGGACTTTCATGTAAGCTGCACAAACCTCATTTGTAAAAAACATTGTTTTACAGCTTTGTGCTGGAACAGCTGATAAAACTCTGGTTGCCCTGGCGCAACAAGTAAAGAATTGTTCATTTTTGACAAATAGTGGAGGCGTAGCACAAAATATACCTTCACAGAGAAATAAATGCAATAAAGGTAGACTTTCTATTATTTTTTATATAAAAATTATTCATACAAAGTAAAAGTTATTTATCAAGTATTGAAAACAAGAGCAGAAATACAACTGTGTCCGAATTTAATGAATTTGAGCCGCATCTTAAATCCGCTAAAAACCGGTTTAAATTAAGCGCCGGTTTAAATCTTGAAACATTGAATAAATTTTAAGCCGCAACTTAAATTTAAGCCGCATCTCAAATTCTTTAAATTCGGCCTCTGGTCATTTTTCAGCAAAACACAACATTTGAAAATATATTATAACCAGTCTTTTTTTGGGATTTCATAACCACGGAGTTTTTAGAATCATAAATAGAATTATCAGATGCAAGAAAGAATATTTCAGTTTTTGCAAAGTGCCGAGGAGCAGAAAGAGACAGTATTGCAGCAATTAATAGATGTGTAGTGTGCCCAACCCCAGGAGAGGCTAAACAAGAACTTGTTGCTCTAGAGAAGTTAGTCAAATTGTTTTTTTTTTAAAGGGAACATTAGCAATTTCTTAAACGGGGTATCGAAATAATCAGGATAACAGTAAATATCGTTAAGGCCTTGTCTTGTCTGATGTGGATAAGGGGGTGGGGGAGGTTTAATGAAGAAAATGTTGGTTAAAGACTAGTATAATAACAGAAATCAACTTATTATCTCATAAGAAGTTATATAAAACAAGTATTTTTACAGTCGATCAACGGTTTTTAATTCACGGAACATTTTTTAGTCTTGTTGGGGCTTTGGATAAATCTGAAGCAGCGGTTGGAGCTGCACTTGAAGCTGCGGGAGTTTCAACTGGGCCAGGGGCAGACGGGACTGTAAGTTTTAAAATTATCTACTAAAGGGACTGTTCCTTATAATTTAAGTAAACTTCAATTCCACAGTACAGAGTGTCATTACTGGCGACGCGATTTCAAGGGACGAGTTGCATGTCCGATTTTCAACAGTATTCTTCAAACCTTGTGTTGGAAAATTTTTTTTGATGTTTTCTTATTTTTCAATCTGAAAATTGATAATTTCTAATTGTGTTTTTTTATAAGTGGCCGCTGAATTGAGGGAGAAAAAATCAAGAAAGTTAATGGTTATTGTTTGTAAATGCTTTCAATCTAAACTTGCTTCAATTTAGATCGGCACTTAAAAGTCTAATACACGCTTTCATTTAATTCCTAAATTAGAAGAAATATCGATCTTTCTAGCTCTAAAGCAAACTGTGCTTTGTTATTATCATTAATTTATCTTGTAGTTAATCAAATATAACTCAACTTATTGGGACTGTAGGCATATTTTCAACTTCAGACTTAAATCACATCTTCGTCTTTTACTTGCAAAACCGCCAGAAATATTATAATGAAATTGAGACTGTGCTACAAACTCAAATTTTATAATCCCTACATCTTTGCGACTTGATGATATTTGATATTTCAAACTTAGATTATTTGATCTAACAGAATGCACAGTTTAAAATATCTAAAGAATATAATATCGAGTTGCAAAAATATAGAGATTACAAATAAGATTTTGTGAAAGAAATACAAGTATTTGTTTATAATTTAAGGTTTAAAGATGGATTACTGTTGTACATTGGGCATACCCCTTATAAAATAAAATGTCACCTGAAAGTACGTTCACAAATTTAAGGCCCTTTAAATTCATATAATAATGTCTGATTTTCCTTTCAACCAAGTTCTTTTATATCTTATATATATAAATATTAAATACTAGGTGAAGGGCCCGGCGTTTGGCCGGCCATCGGAACTATTTATTTATGAATGTCTTGTTTTATTATGTAGATATCATATATTTTAGCTTCCTCAAGTTGATACTCAAATTAAACAAGTTCCAGAGGCGCCAGGATGCCAAGAAGTATTAGATAGTAAGTAAACAGTTTTATACAATGAAAATCTAGTATCTGGTAATTTTTGAATAATTTTATTATGCTAGGTTATATCAAATTCAATAAAAGTGCGGAGGCTATTGGCTCAGATCCAAACAAGGCTCTAAATCAAGTTCAGACCTTAAGTGCAACAAAATTTCTCACTGAAATAGGAAATAGGTAACACACCTTTTCCCCTTAAAGGGAGTGTTCGCGAATTGATGACTAAAGGTTGTAATATCTGAATGATTTTTTTGAAATTAAATTGATTTTTTTACGATCAACCGTATGTTGCAATTTTCTCAATTTGTATGGGCGCTAAGTTATTCGGCATGAGACGTCTTTAACAATTTTCTCCTCATAGACGCAACAGATAGAAGTAAAATTAGTAGCGATCTAAAGCGCTTTTTTATCGAATTAAGCCTATACCCCTTTCATTTTTCGCGAACACTCCCTTTAAACGAGTTAGGAAAATATGTGTGGCAGTGCAGGCTTAATTTAATTATATTTTACCGCAGACCTACCCTTGTCAGTGATCTCCTGTCCTGCACAAAACAAGAAGCAAAACAAGCAACAATTCTAGCAATATCTTATATCAGGTATTTCCGCACTAAATATAATTTGAACTGAGGTTGTAACTTGATCTCTCAATTATAGTTATCCCAGTGTGTGAAACCACTAATAATAGATCTGCATAAGCATAATATTAGTGGTTCATGCTGAGATTCACATAGTTCTCACTTCTTGAATTCCCTGACTAATTATTGCACATTTTTAGATTTTATCTATATTGGTCAATTCAATGGAGGAAAAATGTAATCCTGGTCCGAGTAGCAGTTGTTGCAATCACCTTTAATATACCTTCACCATTAGTTCCATCTGTAACAACTATTGCTCCAGTAACAACTATTGCTCCAGTTACATCTATTGCTCCAGTAACAAGTATTGCTCCAGTAACAACTATTGCTCCAGTTACATCTATTGCTCCAGTAACAACTATTGCTCCAGTTACAACTATTGCTCCAGTTACAACTATTGCTCCTGTTACAACTATTGCTCCAGTTACAACTATTGCTCCAGTAACAAGTATTGCTCCAGTTACAACTATTGCTCCAGTTACAACTATTGTTCCAGTAACAAGTATTGCTCCAGTAACAAGTTTTGCTCCAGTAACAACTATTGCTCCAGTTACAACTATTGCTCCAGTTACAACTGCTACTCAATTTACAACTACTGCTTCAGTAATAACTGCTCCAGTAACAACTGCACCAGCAACAACCACTACTAAAGAAACAACTACTGTTGTAGAAGAAACAGCTACAGGAGGAGAAACAACTACAACAGGAGAAACAGCTACTGCTGGAAAAACAACTACCGCAGGAGAAACAGCTACTGCTGGAGAAACAACTACCGCAGGAGAAACAACTACCGTAGGAGAAACAGCTACTGCTGGAGAAACAACTACCGCAGGAGAAACAGCTACTGCTGGAGAAACAACTACCGCAGGAGAAACAACTACCGTAGGAGAAACAGCTACTGCTGGAGAAACAACTACCGCAGGAGAAACAGCTACTGCTGGAGAAACAACTACCGCAGGAGAAACAACTACCGTAGGAGAAACAGCTACTGCTGGAGAAACAACTACCGCAGGAGAAACAGCTACTGCTGGAGAAACAACTACCGCAGGAGAAACAACTACCGTAGGAGAAACAGCTACTGCTGGAGAAACAACTACCGCAGGAGAAACAGCTACTGCTGGAGAAACAACTACCGCAGGAGAAACAACTACCGTAGGAGAAACAGCTACTGCTGGAGAAACAACTACCGCAGGAGAAACAGCTACTGCTGGAGAAACAACTACCGCAGGAGAAACAACTACCGCAGGAGAAACAGCTACTGCTGGAGAAACAACTACCGCAGGAGAAACAACTACTGCAGGAGAAACAACTACTGCAGGAGAAACAGCTACTGCTGGAGAAACAATTACCGCAGGAGAAACAACCACTGCAGGAGAAACAGTAACTTCAGGAGAAACATCTACTATAGAAGTAACAACAGCAGCCACTTCTATTCCTACTTCCACTGCTACTACTACGGCCACTACTACTACTACTACTACTACTACTACTACTACTACTACTACTACTACTACTACTACTACTACTACTACTACTACTACTACTACTACTACTACTACTACTACTACTACTACTACTACTACTACTACTACTACTACTACTACTACTACTACTACTACTACTACTACTACTACTACTACTACTACTACTACTACTACTACTACTACTACTACTACTACTACTACTACTACTACTACTACTACTACTACTACTACTACTACTACTACTACTACTACTACTACTACTACTACTACTACTACTACTACTACTACTACTACTACTACTACTACTACTACTACTACTACTACTACTACTACTACTACTACTACTACTACTACTACTACTACTACTACTACTACTACTACTACTACTACTACTACTACTACTACTACTACTACTACTACTACTACTACTACTACTACTACTACTACTACTACTACTACTACTACTACTACTACTACTACTACTACTACTACTACTACTACTACTACTACTACTACTACTACTACTACTACTACTACTACTACTACTACTACTACTACTACTACTACTACTACTACTACTACTACTACTACTACTACTACTACTACTACTACTACTACTACTACTACTACTACTACTACTACTACTACTACTACTACTACTACTACTACTACTACTACTACTACTACTACTACTACTACTACTACTACTACTACTACTACTACTACTACTACTACTACTACTACTACTACTACTACTACTACTACTACTACTACTACTACTACTACTACTACTACTACTACTACTACTACTACTACTACTACTACTACTACTACTACTACTACTACTACTACTACTACTACTACTACTACTACTACTACTACTACTACTACTACTACTACTACTACTACTACTACTACTACTACTACTACTACTACTACTACTACTACTACTACTGCTGCTGCTGCTGTCAATGCTTGATAAGAAATTATAAATAAAAATTCGTAATATGTAAGATTCTTAATTTTTTTTTGTATTTTAATTGGCAAATACAAACCTGCGTACATAAATTTTTTTTACAATTTTAGAATTGTTTGGTGATTCTTATCTAGAGTTTGCAGCGAAAAGGAAACATCGTTTCGCGAAAAATAAACATTGTTAGGGTATTAAGTAAATTACAAAAATTAGGTTTAATGATTTTTTTGAAAAAAAAATGCTGACAAGGATTCAAAATTTGGTAAATTGTTTTTAAAAAGTCGTTTAAATAAAAGAAAATTAGATAATTTTTTGATGAGAGAGGTTCCCAGTTTTCGGGGTTAAACCTGAAATTAAGGCTTAGAAATATTTGAAGTATTTATTTCTAGCAATATCACAATCTGCAGAATATGTTAACAATAAAACATTTTAAATGTTTTTAATTGTAAATTGGTTTAAGTTGTTTTTAATCTTAATCTAGAAGTCAGAACTATTGTTTTCTGGTTTTCGGGATCAAGCATTGATCTCCATCTTAAGCAGACCAGTGTACGGATTAACGTAATTCTTTAATTCGATATTCCGTAGTTTTCAAACCTTGTAGGTACAACTGAGAGATCCTCAAATTTAAAAGTACTCCTATTGGATATCTAGATCAAGCATTCAAGATTAAGGATACATCATATAAAAGTTCTAACCTTAAATTTGAATTGTTTATGGCATAACTAGCCTTTTTAAAATCTTAGGTTTGAAATTAAATATTTGGTAGAATATGTTTTTTTTTGAATTTATGCAGTTTTCATGCGCGTCTTGTGTGCACTGTGCAATCCCTTATCAAATAATATGATCCTGTCCCTGATCTGGACCTGGATATAGACCTAGACATTGACCTCAACATATACCTCAAAGTCCTTACCCGTTTCCTGTTAGCATAAAGAATGTTGCTTACAAAAATCCAAAGAGATGTTTTGTAATTAAGAGAAATGTTTTATTTAGTGAAAAAGTTGACGTATACAGTTTTATCGTCTTTTGAGATGAAAATGCGCTAATTTTTTACGAATGCTTAATTAATTTCCCTCTATCTATTAATTTCCTTCTATCTATTAATTTCCCTCTATCTATTAATTTCCTTCTATCTATTAATTTCCCTCTATCTAAAAGTGTTAGTCATCAAATGTTTGACAGCCTGGTAATGCCTTGGCCTTTGGTTTTACCCCACCAACTTGCTTATACTTTTTTGTAGCACTAGACATTTATATTTTAAAGATGTAATGCGCTTCTAATCGTCGGTTTAAGCATATTTCTTGACAAAATACTACTCAATTTTTGTGTGTGAGCGTGCACATCTTGCAGTAATTTTGGTCAAATTGATAACCGAGGCTGCTTTTAATAGTGCAGCTCCCTTAAAAAATTATAATAACAAAAAGAAATAAATTTCTGCATCATTCGTTGAAAAACTAATTATAATTGTATGTATTGACGATAAATGATACTGATCGTTATGGATTCTATACCAGTTCTTTAAACTTGCATACAGCCAATTAATGGCAAAACAATATTTTTTAATAATGAATACCTTACAAACATAAACAGAAAGTTTTCATTCTTGTGAATAACAAGGAATAATATATATATAGAGTGTTAGGGCGACGTACTGTACAGAATATGGTCATAGGATCGGGTCAGTCAGTACACGCTGTTATCTGACAGGCTGGTACAAACTGGCCAGGTCCTGTTCGAATTCAAATTTACTACGGCGCAGAGTGAGTGCGTAAGGTAGTGTCGAATAAAATGTATCTACACGAACAAAACTTCATTAATCAATTATTAAGGATTTACATTGGTACATGTAAAAAAGTTGTAAATAAGGGGCCTGATAGTCCATGCACTAGTTTTGTTGTTTGTAGTCATGGATATGAAGATTTTATAGTTTTGATGCGACTATTGCTAGCTTCAGTTCTTAGAGTAGAGTGTCCATCTTATTATCAATACTAATATTCAATTATCTACATTTTACCACCCCAAAGAAATACGATCACTCTATACAAGTGTACAGTGTTAGATACGTAAACATATCGCGATGTATTGTACACAAACGACCTCAAGGGAGGTCGGTTGTGTACATCTGAGCTAAGCTTTACCTCTTCGTTTTATTACTCAATGCTTCAGTTTTATAGAAGAGGATTTAAGCAAAAGAATGTGTGCATAATTTGGTTCATGTTGCCATTAAACTAAATAGAAAGAAAACCTATCCACCATCAGGACTGAGACACATCTTCAAATCCGTCTTAGTCGAAAGGGTTTTCATACCTGGTTATTTCATAGTGTGCAAAAAAACTATTTCAAAACTTTATTATGTTAAAAGAAAAATTAATGTCTCTCAAAAACAAAACCTCTCCTAGTCTTTTCGTAAACAAAGGTGAGTCATTATCGACATTTTTATAGAAATTAACAAAACAAAAAAGAACTTGAACCAGAAATTTATCTGTATATTTCTTATTTTGCAAAGATAGTTTAATATTACAATTTATTTAACCTTAAGCTAAGGGTATCGAGATGTTCTGTAGTACTTGATCTTTTGTTAAAACGTAGATAAATTTATTCTTTATTTGAAATAGCACGGTACCCTGAAATGAAGAGATTAAGCATTGATCCTCAAATTAAAAGTGCCCGCAATGTAAATCGAGATTAAGCAATATGGATTATGGGTATTCATTTCAATACACAAGTTCCAAGCTCTAATTTCAATTCTAATTCAATTGTTCCCCGTGGTGAGATTAACTCCCGGTTTTATTTTACCAAATAAAGTTCGAAGAATCAGTGAATCTTTAAATCTTAACCATTGAGACTTGAGAGAAAACATTGAATGAATGACGCCTTCTAATCTTTTAATTAGAAATCAAATTCTAAAATTATGTACTGAACATTTTAAGACATTTCTCAATCAAAACATTTTAAAAGTAAAATACATCCTTAACGAAAATTCTAAATCGAAGAAAGAACAAATACAAAGGAATTGAGTGTATGCCACAAACTCTGATTTTCTAATCCTTATTTCTTTACAACACAATGTTTGAAATATCAAAGGTTCACAAGACACAACAGATCAGGTTGCATGATTAGTTTAGTTTCATTTCAAGTATTTCAGTAGAGCTTTGTAAAACCAGCTTTATAAGATATAGAGTTACCCACATAGGATAAAACTGTTAAGACGACCCAAAACTCTGACGACGATTTGAAGCTTGCTTTTTGGTTTCTGCTCTTAACTTGAACTACAAATTTTCTGTAATAACTTTCAATAAAAATCTAATCAATTTAATTTTAGACTTAAAAGTTTTTAGTTTGCGGTCAAATTATAACTAATGCTACCTAATTCCTCTTCATTTAAATATTTTCAGCTCTAATCCTCTGTTTAGTGAAGGAATATCTGGAGGATACTAGTATTCATGGGCTTAAATACATAAATCCTGACCGAGGGTTAGTATGTAAACAAAGTATATATGTACCAAATAGATGGTCAAGTACAATAGATGGAAACAGAAAATCGACAAACTGCGCACAACGTCACAAGTGTCAAATGTAAAAAGAAAGACGACATGTACTCTAATTAGTGGATATGATTTCCAAGATTTAGCGGAGATAAATGTCGTTTTTGGGAGGAATACGTAGAACATCTTTACAACTCAAAATTATGTTGAGTATTTTTACTGTCGTTTGGTGACTTTATTCTTTTTTTTTTCCCTGTATAACTATGTAAACTAAAAAGTGTGACTGAAGTAAACACATTACATCATCATACACAACAACAAAAGTAAATAACGATAATAATTCATGCCGCAAATCACGATTTAAAATAACAAAACGGCGCACGCGCGAATGGGTTAACCTACAGAGTTGAAATTTTGCATGCACACAGGTAAGACCTAGCATCAGAACTTTCTGCACAGAAGTCTCTAACCTAGATAATTTAAAACTTTTTCTTTAATAAACCTTCACCCAAAAAATATTTTTTATTGAAAAATATTTTTTATTAAAAAAAAATATTTTTTATTAAAAAATATTACAAAGTTAGCTTAACCCTATTCCTGTAGTTATTTTTACATAACTCAAAAAGTATTGGTCTGAGGCTGTTGAAATTTTCTGACTTTTCCTACATATTCAAAGCCCTCCCTTTAGGCCTAAAACCGGGATTTAATACTAACTGCCTGAGTCCTCAGGCACACTGCCTGAATGACTGCTTTTTCCTGCAACAAACTAAATCTTTGTTTTGACCCACTTCCACTTGTCAGATTTTTGATAAAATTTAGCTTTTTGGAAAGGCTTTGACACAAGGAAACGAATTGCACAAGTTTTGCAAAACAAAATTGCAAATTTTTTGCAAAGAACCTGTCAAAGGAAATTTGCACATTTAAAATTAGGTTATTTAAAATTTGCATATTTGAAATGGCATGGTCAAGGGCTTTTCAAAAACGTATTTTTTTTGCAAACATTTTTACTATATTACTAGATTTTGCGATAAAAATTTTAATTTTAGCAAATTTGAAAATTGCAGATTCTAAAAGTAGAGCACAAGAGCTTTCCAATGATGTATCATTTGTCATATTTGGACATAAAACATGGGATTTAGAGGGGGGGGGGACAAAATGACCCCCCCACCATATCCTGGTTTTCAAGTACCCCAGCAGAGATAGGGTTAATAACGTTGAATAAGTTTTTGGCAATTAGTGAAACACTTTTTGCTTTCAATAAAAACAGAATTCTTGCATTAAAGTAGAAAAACAAATTGAAATAAAAAAGCAAAGAATTAAAATGATGAACTGATATTGTTTGAAATAACCATTAAGTTATTTTAGCTTTAGATTACAAGGACTTATTACATGACAAGACCCAAGTAGAGACGGGAACATTATTTTTTTTCATTTATCGTTCATAAACGACCCAGTTCATTCATTTATTATAATCTTTAAAAAAATTACTTTCCATCTATTTCGTTCGTTTTCTCAGTAAAACAGTTCGTCCATCATATGTTTTTTTTCTAAGCAACGCAATCGTTCATGAAAAATATTGTTCATTCATAAAAATTATGCTTATCTTTAGACCAAAGAAATAGAGACCAAATTTTCAAATTTTAATAAAAAATGTAGTTGATTAGAAAAGTAAACATAACTTTATTATCATTTTATCAAAAATATTACTTGTCTTCCTTACTTGATTCAAATAAATAGAAGTAAAACACAGAAAACTTTCTTTATTAGCACATTAACAGTTACAATTCATCACTCATAACTTTCATTTAAAAGGATAACTAAACAACTAGATTTAAGCTCTGTGAACTGCCTCTTTTAGTCTCAAAACTCTGTCTGGTTCATCTCTCTCAAGCTTTTTCATGTGAGAGATTAAATCCTTCTGCTCCAAAGGCTCAAGAGTCTTAAAGTTTCGCAGCAATGAGATCAACTCTTCATCTGTAAAATCAGCGTAAAATTCATCTTCTTCCAAAACAGGTTTAGCTACTGGGGCAGTTGTTTCAACTTCTGAACGCATATTCTCATGATGAACAGACAAGTCATCTACCAATTGATCAGTCTCAGGACCACTTTTCACAGTTTTGATGATGTTGGACAATGAGTTCCAATCTATGTTTGGAATTGCTTGGGCACTTTGTGCTGGTAATATTGGACTAGGATTAGCCGCAAATGGTAGTAATGGGACCTGATTTATGCTGGCTGCAATGGGAACTGCAGGTGACTGGGCTGGAATCAAATTGACAGAAATTGCTCCAGGATAACTAGGAACAGCTTGAATTCCCTGCGCAGGTAAAGGATTGTTTTTTGGGATATTAAATTGCAATGATCCTTCCCATTCCCTGGACCCATGTGGCTGTGGAACAACATGTTGCTGTTGGTTAAGTTGACCAGAAATATCATATGTCCAAGGGTTTCTAGACAATACATTTTGCTCTAATGCTGTTGGCTTTTGAACAACCTGGGTTTGCTGTGAGATTTGACTTGGTAGTTGATGTTTGACCCTGATATATTCAGCTTCAACTAAAGCATTAAACTCTTCTTGGCTTAACCTCTGCCCCTGAGCTGTTAACTGCTGGTCAATAGTTCTTGCAATTGCCATTTTAATCAATCTTTGATCATCGATTACTTCAGGTTTTTTCTCCACTACATCTTCAAGTTTCAAGGTTGACCGCTGAAGGAGAATTATCACATTATCTAGAATTATTCTGCAAACCTTATTTTCACTTTCACTCATCGTACCAGTTTTGATAAGATTATCAACTCGATCTTTTGTTGCAATAAGTAATTTGTAGAAATCCTTTACATCAACTAAATCCCAGCTAGAACCTGGAATTCGGTTCTCCAGAACAACTGCTTTTCCAAGATGTTCATCAATTTGCTTACCAAGATCTCTGATAAATCCAGCCTGGTCTAAAGCAGACATTAACCTTAGTGTTGATATCACAGACACTTCATTAGATGGTTCATCAATTCTATCATCAAGATAATTAGATCCACGATGTTCTTCAGATTCAGGGGAGAATGATCGTCTGTCTGGTCTTTGATTACTGAGATGGTGATCTCCCAAGCGACTTCTTTCAGAAAATGGAGAAAGCTTTGATCTTCTTTCTGACCTATGCTGATCTGCCAATCTTTGAGAGATTGGAGACTGTTTGGTGTAGTGCGACTTGTGTGGAGGAGATCTCTCTATGGATCTCTTATCAGAATATTTATCTCTTTGAAAATCGGGAGATCTTTTATGAGAATAACCTGATGATCTTTCAATTGACCTTCTATCTGAGTAACTTTCTCTTCTGGGGCTTGAGGATCGCTCTGTTGATCTTCTTTCATAACGCTTTTCTCTACTATAATAAGATTTTTCAGAAGATTTTCGTTCAGAATGCCAGTCTTGACCTTTGGCTGGGGATCTTGAACGCCGTCTATGGTGATCTCTGTAATTATCCTCAAACCCAGCAATGCTAGGCTTCGATTTTCTCTGCTGTTCTGCCAGTTGAACCTTAAGATCTTTGGAACTTGGAGACTTACTTCTTCTTTGGCCAAAGGCACCTTCTTTGCTTTCAGAATACACATCATCCTGACCATTTCTCTTTTTAGTCCCTATTTCCTTCGAGGCAGGAGAAAGAGGTCTCTTTTGAGTTAATGGTTTGTTTAATTGATTTGGATAATCCTCCTCCCAAGGACTTGCAGACCTTTCTCTTTCTTTGGACTCTGTATGTTTTCTGCTTGCGTCTGAAATAATATTTTGCTCATTGTGATTTTTAGCTCTAATTAAGAACTTCATGCTTTCAGCCATTTCAGGCTGCTTTCTTTCAAACTCTGCCAAGTCTCTCGGAAGAAGTTTAAACTTCCTCATTAAAATATCTCGTTCTTTTTTACGGCGATTCACAAAGTCCCATTCAAAATACTCAGTCCATTTAATTATCCACTCAGGTTTCATGTCATATGTTGACTCAGATATTCCACGTGCTCTTAATTCTGCCGTTTTACCGCGCCAAAAGTTGCTCCATTCTCTAAAGACATGGCCAATGACTAACAATATTTCTTAAGAATAGGGGTGGACAAATTAAACTGTTTAGTTTAAGGCCATTTATGTTTTTTGAAAGAGTAATATTTTCATGTTCTATTTATCATTAAATCCAATTTTTAACTCCTGAAAGTTAACAAAAATAAACAAGATGGCTTTTTTGAAAAACTTATTCATAGGCCTGGTAATACTGGTAAAATCCAATTAAATTAAAATTAAAATTTAAAATATAAAATTAATATAAATATAAATATAAATTTAAAAAATACAAAAAATGTTTGAATAATTCATCTTTGTAAACTTTAAAAGTAAGAAAGTTTCTGGTAAAGTCTTTAAGCATTTTTCTAAAACTAAGGTCAGATACCAAACTGTTTATTTCTCAAAGTAGAGCTGGAGGGGGGGGGGGGGGGCACATTCAATTTGAACTGGCCAGTTCCTGCTGTAATCAGGATGCTGCACTGCATCTTCAAGATAAGTTTGTTTCAGTTTATCCAGGACATCTAACATAACCTTCTCTGCTGCAAGAAATGCTGTAACACGTTCCTCCCGTTCCTTTTTATACTTTAACCTACGCTCTTCCGGGGTTAAAGTCTCCGTTTCTTCCTTCGGAAGCGATGATGATTTCACAGAGTTAGGAAGAATTGTCTCTGATGATGCTTTTTTATCAATATTAATGTGAGACTCCTTGTCGTTAATTAATTCAGACTTGATCTTTGTCAGCTCAGTCTCTACTGCAGAGGATAGTTTATTGGTGTTCTCCGTGACCTCCTCTTTAATTAAAAGGATATCTTTTCCCTTATCTTCCCCCCTGGTAGGATTGGATATCATATCAACATTCTCGTTTTTTACTTCTAAAACCTTCTTATTAGGTTCATTAGCTTTTTCAGGAACTTTTGTTTCTTCCTCTTTACTTATCATCTCTTCTATGGGAGCAGACTTTTCAGTCTTATTCTCCTCATTGGAAGTTTTATCCTTGACATTTTCCTGGCTCCTGGGCTCATCTCTCAGCTCAGTAAACTCCTCTCGAGTAGTTTCTTCAGGACTTCCAATAGAGGATATGGGGCTAAGTGATCTTTCATCTAATCCATTCTGCTCGCTAAAAATTTTACCATTAATAAAAAGTGTTCACAAAAACATAACAAATGCATAAAATAAAAATTAGTATTCTTAATTTAGAAATAAATTTTCAGCACAGAAAATGTAAATTAGAAATGGTTGCTCCATGCACAAGAGTTTTGTAAAGTTTTTTAAGGGGAATTTTTTTTCTAAATTGGGGACAGTACTTGTTAGATAATATCAAATATTACAAAACCTCACTCCCCCCCCCTGGCATACCTCTCATTTTTGTCATTTTTCTCCTTTTTCTCCTTTTTCTCCTTTTTCTCCTTTTTCTTCTCTTTATCCTCTTTATCCTCTTTATCCTCTGTCTCCTCTTTCTCTTCCTTTTCTTCTTCTTTTTTATCCAGAGCATGTACTGAAGGTTCAGGTTTTTTCTTTATCACTATATCAACAATAAACTGAGTCTCCCTAAAATGAATAATGAATAAAAAAAATTAATCTACGATAACATTTAAAGATATTGTCAAGGTTACAATATGCATGATGACCCAAAAACAGCAGACACATTTCTAATAATCATTTTATCTTCACTGTTTGTGTCTGGTAATTGCTTTGAAAGTTTTAGCGTTAGAAAAAGGGGTCGAGTCACCCGCACCCTCCCGGTCACCAACTGTTCAGCTGAGCTGTGTTTCTAGCAGGAATGAAAAAATCGTTGTGGACTGATTCTGCACATTGAGCGCAATTATTTAATCGGTATGTTTTGCGCTTTTTCACGTAGGGAATACATATTTTATAGTAAAACTTCTGGTACTGGAGTCTGGATATGAGCAAAAAGAAAAAGTTTTTGCGCTATTTTCGTGCAGTGTACGCAAAAATTTTGCGGAATTTTTGTGTGGAACTTTTTTGGACAAAACTTTGCTTCTGCTGGAAACCCCACATAGAGCATAATACAGTTTCTAGTTCTAATTAATTATACGTAATGATAATGGCAGGGTGCGGCCATAACTAATCAGATTTAAAGTAAAGTTGGACTGTGTAAAGAGGCTTTGCCCCCCCCCCGTGTGCCAGCCCCTTCAAAACTTTCAGTTAAGGGCCTGATAACAGGAAAAATAATAGTTATCAAATAATCTAAGGTTAAAAACTTACTTTAAATGGGGTCCGAGCTCAATGGCTCTTGTTATTTCATCCAAATTATCTTTATATTTCTTACGCCCAGAAAGCAAACGAACCTATAAAAGAAAAAAGTTATAAATGTGATTTTTTTTTATGAAAACTAGATTAAACTGATATTAAAAAGACTACAAATTCTTCTTTTTACTCAAAGCAAAGATTTCAAGAATTTAAAATAATAGCAATAAAGGTGTTGAATGTTTTTTATGAAAACACTTAATCAAAATTGAACACAAGATCGTAAATGAAAACGATGTTATGGTTAAAAATAAAAAGATAATACTGCTTAAAAAGATTATCGGCAAATAATAATACAGACATTATTATGACCATGCAAAAGATAAGAACGATCATGAGAAAACAGGTGATCAAATATCAGAAGTGATCATGATCATCATTAAACACATGATCACCATTAAACACATGATCATGACTATTTAAATGGTCATGATTGTTGAATTCATGCAATTAACTATTTAGTTTTTTTTGTTCAGAAATCGCTTCGAAATTTGCACATTGGCAAAATATAGATTTTAGAAAAGGACAATAATTAGAGTTTGGGTTTAAAGTTTAAATACAAAATATGTTGTTTACAAAGAATACTTAACTTTAAACGAAAAAACAAGAAAAAAACGATGTCAAACCAATTTTTTTAAAACAATACAGAATCTTTTTTCACCCAAACATTAATTTATTGTCCCCATTTCAGCGAATACATAGAGCGAGTATATAAATATTGACAAAAAATAATAAAAAGCAAGTCGTAGAATGTTTGATTCACAACGGTACCATTTAAACCTTTGGATGATAGATATACTTGTTTTTCTATCTGAAAATTGATAGTTTACATTTGAAGGTAAGTGTCAGAATTCATCACATTTTACAAAAGAAAAACGATGATGTCTTCTTCATTCTTACTAAAAATATAAAAGTTTAAGTACGGATGTGAATCGGACATGCGGATGTGAAATATTTTCAGGAGACGCAAATCAAGTAGTAAATAGTCAAGTTTTTGCAGCATTTACAGCATTTGCAGCATTTTTTGACAAAATCAAAGCTGACAATCGCAAATGGCTATTTGTGGCCAAAAAAACGGTAAAACAAGTGAATTCAAAAAAATATGTCGATATGGGTATCAGAAGCCCAATTCAACGCAGCAAACGGTTAGTAGAAATATTCAAATACATGCAATCTAGGAGCATTGAAATGGAAAAAATTAGGGAAATAACAGAATCAGCTGTTTTCCCTAGTTTTTTAGCTCCGACTTTTTTTTCATTATTTTGTTAAACATTTTTTTCATTGAATATGGCCTGGAAAGACGGATTTTAAGTAGAAAAAAACACTTATTCACGTTTTTTATCACAAGGCCATTTGCAATGGTCACTTTTGATTTCAGCGAAAAAAATGTTTTGTAAATTAAAAAATACTAAAAAATATTGATTACTTAATAATCGGATGCCACTCCTCATACGAAGGATCACTTAAAATTACGTCTACAAGCACTTTAATGTGCATTACAATATTGTTTTTTTTAAAGCATTTTTTTACCTTTAATCTTCCAAAACATTTCTCCACTATCCTAGTAATCTCATTCAAGGTGGTGACTGGGGTCGTCTTCAACTTATACTCCCAGATTGTAGGAAAATGTTTAGACTAAAAAAAATTATATGTTCGACTTTTCGAGATTCCAAGAATTAATTAATCACACAAATTTTACCCCTTTCTGAAAAATACTGTACCCCTATTTTCGAAACCACTCAAACATTTCCCAGCACTGCCCAGGTTTTTTCATAGTTACTCCCGCCGTTTACCCAAACTTAAACAATTTTTACCGGGAAACTAACTTTTTGCTAGAAAGGTCGACCCACTCAACTTATAATCCAAAAACAAATTGAGAACATTCCCGTGGTTCTCCCAAGGTCCCCAATCAAAATTTGAGGCAAATCGGTCCAGGGGTTCCTGAGTTTAGATCGGACAAACCAACACACAAACAGAGACAACATTTAATATATACAATACATAGATATCTTTGCTAGCTGGCCGAATGTTCCGGACCAAAGTGGCTCAAATTTTTTGAGGGAACCTATGACATCAGATAATGATATAATAAGTGCAGGGAGCAACTATGAGTAATAATATAAACCTGGGCACTCCAGCTAGTAACATATAAGCCAGAAAATCTAAGTTTTTGTAATATTTTCTCTTCAATGAATTGCTCATAACATGTAAAACACATACTAAAAAATTTAACCATTTAACCCTATAAAAAATCAATCATCAAGAGCCAAATATTCTAGAAAAAAATGCAATGGTTTTATAAGTGTTGGATCATTTATGGATATGCATCTCATTTCTTATATTCAGGGTTGCACACAAAAGGATGAGACTTCTGAGACGACTGTACAGAATTTATGCTGACCTTTTACACACATATTTGGTTCCTTGCAGCTGAATATTTGTTTCTTTTGTTGCCAAATCATTTCAAGACTATTTCTAGTGCAAAATACCAAATTTTATCTTCTAATTATTAGAATTCGTAGATTTTTGGTAGTCATTAAAATCTCATCCTGTGTGGGTTACCCTGTAAATTGTATAATAATCGTAAACTTTGTTTAAGCAACCAAAAATATTGTTCAGCATTTATGTTTTCCAATTTTCAAAATATTTAATATCAAAGGTTTGTTTGTAATTCAAGATTTAGATTGTTGAAGGGCTTGCACAAGGCGGGGGGGGGGAGGGGGACTGAGCCCACACTACACTTAAAAGACATCAAAATTTGTCATTTTAAGACTTTAGAAACATAAACATGCCAAAAATATTTCCACAAATTCTGTCCCTCCCTAAATACTGTGAGAGGGGGAGGGGCGGTCGGGAAGGACAAAAAATTGCGCATTTACTGGGACTTACTTATTACTTACAACTTTTAAACGAATCGCAGAACAGAAGAGAAGCCTACAAAGCACTTACCAAATATTTAGTTTTATGCGAATTCATAATCAAGTGTTGCCGCATGTTGTCAAGGCAGGTTGAAGTAACCTTGGGCTTGTACAGAATATCACAAAGTCTGAAGCAAGAACATTTGTTTTAAAAATAAATTCGGGTCAAATTAAAAATATAACAATTTAGAAAATTCAAAGATTTTTTAAACTCTACCATGACACCTATTAAATTTTTTTATTTAAAGAAAATTGCTGGGGTTGTTCCTGGCCCCAGGGAATCCCACCCATCAGCACTCCCCCTAACGATACGCATATCAATCACGCCTGGGGTAGCCTTTTAAACAGGAAGACTTCTGTTATTTGTTAAAACGGTCTGGTGAACATGAAACACAACAATTGTGCATTGTACCAATTTCTGTTAATACGTTAATTTTGCCAATTATATCTGGTAGAAACTATTTTCTAAAAATGAAAAATGTTGTCATTCACGATTTTCTTGGATGTCATTGTAAACTTATCAATTATGACATCAAACTTTTTTTCTACATTCTGTCATGTTTTTATTAATTTTCGATTTAACAAAGAAACCAAATAGTGTTATTCAATATAATAAAGAAACCAAAAAATATTCAGTTTAAAGAGACTGCCCATGTATTTAAAAGTGACCCTCTGTTTATAGTATGCAATGTTCAATTCACAACGGCACTCTTTACACCTTAATCTGGTCAATAATAATGTGAAAGCTGACGTCTTTTTTACATTTTAACAAGTGTTAAAATATTTAAGTTACTTTTTCAGAGAAACCATAAATAAATATATAAACAATTTTCGATGAAGAGATAATGGATATTTTAAGCATTCTTGATCAAACAAAGCTTTAAAGAGTACCGTTGAGCATCGAGCGTGCTTAAAAATAAAGGGTCACTTGAAATGTTGTATACAGTCCATTTAATCTCAAAATAAACATCCTGCCTGCAAGAGTACCAAGACCCTTCCTGACTTCCTTTCTCCTGAATTTCGATAACATATTCCAAACCTAAAATAACAAAAATAACATACATGTTAAATACATCACACTTACATTACTAATATACAGTGATGCACTTGTTAAAACTTGTTAAAAAATTAAAATAAAACCCCCCCCCCCTTATTCCTAAACAATGCTCATTTGTCACAGTGATTAGAATCAATCCCTTTTTAACC